ATGGCCAGAGGTCCTCTGAAATAATGAAAACAGCAGTAGGGATGTTTTGGATTTTTAATATTTCATTTATTACTTTTCATTTATTTCCTGTTATTTTCCTCTAATGCAGGGGTTTTCATCTGGCCCCACTTCTGCAGTTGCAGTCCCCACAGCCCAAGATCATGCCACAGAACTTTGGAGCCATCCTTTTTTCCCTTCCCCCATATTAAGATACCTCTGGAAGGCAGAGTGTTTTTAGGCTTATAATTCAAAATCATGCTACCAAAAATCAGTGGAATAATTTTGTTGTTTTACATTGGGTAAGAGATGGGGCATGATGGCTCAGCGGTTAAAGATGCTGAACTTGTCAGCTGGAAAGCCGACAGCCTGGGTTTGAGGCCTGAACTCTACATGACAGGGTGAGCTCCCGTTTCTTTCCCAGCTCCTGCCCACTGAGTAGTTGAAAGCATGCAAATGTGAGTACATAAATAAGTAAAGGTCTATTGGAAGGTAACAGTGTTCCATGTGCCTCCGCATATAGTCATGCTGGTCACATGACCATGGAAATGCCTTTAGACAACTCTAGTTCCCTCTGCTGAGAAATGGAGATGAGCAACGCCCCCTAGAGTTGTACACGACAAAAGAAGCCTTTAACTTTTAAGAGATGGAGCTGAGAATGTGCCTGCAAAAATGTATTTATTGATTAGATTTGATTTGTATGCTGCCTATCTCACCCCAAGTTAATTATGTCCTTCTTATGATGTTACTAATGGCCTCTTCCAGCTTAGCAGAAGTCAAAAGGTTGTTTTGGCTCCCTAAATCAGTCCTGTTGTAGGTGACTAGAAGGAATGTGTGCCTTGAAGAAAAAAAACAGTATTAGGGATCAATGCATTTTCTTTACTGTAGTCCAGAAAAGATGACAGAGTGGAAAATTCATTGGCTTTCTTTTATTCCATAATGGACTCTATATATGCATAGAGGGATTATTTCAGACTGTCTAGCAAGGTCAGGTTGATAACAAAAACAATCCACATTCAAGAATAAATAAATAAATGAATGGAGTATAGGATTTAGTACAAAAGGTTCAGATTTATGTTGTTGCAGAAAACAAGAGGCAATTGTACAACAGCTCTTAAAATTGAGAGGATACTTGATATGTCTGAGAAAATTAGACTGAAAAAGCGATGTTCTTCAGTTAGAAAAGAGAAATTGAAAACACTGGTCTAGAATGGGGAATATGTGATTTGGTCAGTGCTTTTTTTCTAAAAAAAAAAAAAAAAAAAAAGCTGTCGGAACTCACACACATCATACCTACAAGATTCCATCCAAAAAAGGTGCCGGAACTCCATTCTGGGTGTTCTATGAGAAAAAAAGCCCTGGATTTGGTAGTAGTGCAAATGAAAAAGTGTTACAAAGTTACAAAGAGAGCCATTACAACAGATCTAGAGCTTCCAAAGCACATGAGATAATAGTTTTACTTTGATCTGCTTTTGTAAGATTCAGACTTGAGTCCTATGTGTAGCTCAAGACATCGTATTGAAGAATTCATACAAACTGAAATAGGGTTATCAAATGCCAAAGGGTATAATCATGGCATTAGAAACTGAAGTCTCACAAAGATAAATTTAAGGAGCTGAGGGTGGTTAGCCCTGAGAAGACCACAGGGGCATTTGGTAGAACTAATTAAATATCTAAATGTACGATATGTCACACAGGAGAAATTTAAGAATTCTTTGGTCCCTGAGTGCAATATGTGGAACAACAGATTTAAGCTAAAGGAAAATAGATTCCTAGTGGTAAAAACACTTCAGCCATGAAATTATGGGGGGGGGGAGGAATGGGCCACTCCTGGAGACAGAGGAACTGATGCCTTGAAATGGTCCAATGTTCCAGCTTCTTGATATCAGTCCTGAAGGTTGAATGAAACTTCACTGGTCCTGGCATCTGGCTGTTGCTTTTGAATGCCAGTTCAGTTTATAACAAAGATTCCCTCATTCATGATTATATCGTGGATGAGAGGGCCAACATGGCATGTATCAGTGAGAACTGGATGGGTTCAGGATGTGGGAAGTTGTCCTTTCTGAAATTTGCCTAGCTGTGTTTTGAGTATGGCATCAGCTGAAACTTCGGGATAGGGGTGGAGATGTGATCATTGTTATCAGATAATGTCTTAGAGCTTTCAGGGCCCTGCCCTATAAGCCCCCCATTAATGAAAGCCTATTCATTAAGTTGAGCTCTAGAGAGCATTTGGGATTGTTACCTATCTCTCTGCTACATAGCAACATCTCTGCCTAAGCTACTTGACTCCATCCTTGGGTTGATGGTGGAGGATTTTAATCTGCTTTCCCTAGGAATGGGATCTGAGGCGGCTTAGGCATTCCTATTGGAACCATGGGCCTATCCTAAATTATCCAGAGCACTTTGGAATAGTGGTCACACTCTGGGTTTCCTGTCAGAGCAGTGTCAATATGATCTAAAATGGGGAAACTTTTGGTGCTTCCTTTTTCATAGTCATATCATGCCCTGATTTCTCTGGGATTCTCTATTGCCACCATGTATTGCAGGGAGACTGGAACTATTACATTGGTCTACCCCTGCTAATTGGTGATTCCAGACCACCTTCAGAAGGAGATAGAGGTTATTCCTGTCTATCTACCATATGGTCCATTTAAAACCTTGGTTGTCATTTGGAATAAGGTGGCAGCTGAGGCCTTGAATTAGATTGCAACTATGCAAACTCTTTCCTCTCATGTATCCTGTCACTCGCTATGATTTACAGAATACTCTAAGGAGATGAAATGGGAGAAAAATATCAAGTGTGTTGCTGGCACTCAATAAGGGGCAAACTCAACCAAACACAGGTTAGAGTTGTTATTAAGGCTTACCTAGTGGTGGTAAGGGCAGCAGCAAAACAACAGCACTTCCCTGCCCTTATTGCATCCTGTTTTGAATGACATGAACTCTCTTGAGTAAAGTGGGTGTGGAAAATGTGTGCAGCATCTGTCAGATAAAGTTGCTCAGATTTATTTCCAATTGGATATTGGCCTTGTTAGAGGTCATGGGGAGATACTTGGGGTGAAGTTTTGCCCAGTTATCTGGGATTGATCTGAACCTGTTTGATCTGAGAACATTGACAGGGTCCTCAAAACTGTGAGTTCAGCCACCTGCTCTTTAAACCATGGTCTCCCTGGCTTATTAAAGCAGCCCAGGAAATATTGTGTTAGTGTTAATGAAAATCCCCCTTTTTTAAAGGGAATGGGTTATTCCATTTTTAAAGAAACCTTCATTCTCCTCCTACTGTCTCAAGAAATCACCACTGGATCCCACTATACTAGACAAATTTCATTCAGTACCTCAGCTCCCTTTTGGGTGGAAGATGATAGAGAAGGTTATTGCACATCAGTTTCAGAAGACTGTGAAGGAAGTGGGTTATTTGGATCATTTCAGTTAAGATTCAGACAGGATTCTGATCTTTCAGTCAGGATTCAGACCTTGCAAAAGAATGCAAATGACCAGCTGTCTGCAAGGAATATAAATCCTTCCATTCCCCACCATCCAGTTAGAGCTGAAGAAGTTTCTTGGATGAGAAGCGAAATGTCTTCAAAGAGAAACAAGAAAGTCCAGTTGCCTTTTGAAAAAGCACCATTGGGACATTCAGACTGACGTATTGGATGGAAATTGGTCAAGTTTTTGGATGACCTCTGTCACGGGTAGGATGGGGGTATTATATCCGTGCCCTACGTCACTTCTCTGCAGCTTTCGACACCATTAGCCATGTTATACTTCTGGCTCTGGTGGGTACTGGTTTGCCTCCTTCCTTTGGGGTCAATTCCAGTCAGTGATGCCTGGGGAGGAGAAATCCCTTGGGTCCTACTTTGCAGTTTGCCACAGGATTCAATACTTTCTTCTCTCTTTTTAAATATTTACATGAAGCCACTGGGTGAACTTGGAACTGTGTGAAATATCATCAGTACGTAGATACTCAATTATATATCTCCACCTGGGTATGTTATCAGGTCTGGAGCCCCCAGGGAACTGGAGACATGTTTAGACGGCTCAGTTGCTGAGCTGTCTATTTTTATTTTTTATCTCTTTTCACCTAGGATTTGGATCTCTTTTATAATATTTACTATTAATTAATTTTTATACCTTTTTGTGTCTATGTTTTTTATTTATGGATTACCCATTTGTTGTGCACTGCCCAGAGTCACCTTTAATGAAATGGACAGCTATATTAATTTGATAAATGAACTAATTACCCAGAATGCTTATGGGTTCAAGCAAAGACTAGGTAGACCTCTGTCGAGGAAACTTTAGTTTGGATTTGTATTGAATTGAGGATTCGATCGGAGGGTCTAAAGGGCTCTTTCTAACTGTTATTATTCTTGAGTCTGTGAAATAATTGTTCAATTATGCTATTTTCTAAACTTGTAAACTATGTTGTTCTATGATCCTTTAAGAATTGTGTGTGATAGTAGAATGTAGTTTTGCTTAGGAATATGAGTATATATCCTTGGGTAATAGTACCTTAAAAATATTAGATGGCTTGCAGCAGGATTTACAAGAAGTAGGATATGACCAGGCTGAGCCCAAGGGAGTAGTCAAACTTGTCCTCAGTCTGGAGTCCCTTCACACCCACAAGAGATCTAATTCCACCCCTCCTGGAATTGCATTGACTCTTATCTATTGCCAATTTGTCTGGACTATTAGTAGTTCAAATTTTTGTTCAGAGGTAGCATGGAATAAACTTGTACTTATTTTGGACCTAACCTTGACTCCAGATTTCTTCTTGTGTCTGATACAGTATTTGCCATGAATGTGGAAGCTACCATAGAAGTAGAAGGTTTACTAATTTGCAATATCTAAACACATTTACAACTTCAGATTTTAAATTAGCATGGAATACTGAATGGAATACTGAATGTCTGTTTTGGATTGTTGCTAGATAAAAAAGCTGAAAGTTTTGCATCGTTTAATGTAATTCTTTTGTTTCCTCTTATTTATTATGCTTACGTGATCAGGAGGTAGAGGTATGTTTTCTTTTATTTATATAAATATTGAAGTATTCTTTTTAAAAATGTACCCTATATTGTGTTGACTTTTACATTCTATTCTAGTTTTTGGTGTCCTGAAATATTTAATTTGTGATCTCCCACCTGTCTACAACTTTTATGAAATGACCGGGGCATGTTTAACATTCAGCTGTTATTTGGTTTAATTTGCATTTTCATTTCTGATAAAAATATATTCTTATTTAAAAGACAAATTAATGTTTTCAACTCTTCTGCAGAAATACATGAATTACAGGTGATTAATCATGCATAACTTATGTCAATTATGTATAATACAGTAGCTCAACCCAAACACCAGTAACTCAGCAACCAAGCTCAACTCTCCTGAAAAATCTCATGTAATTAGGATCTGCTACATTTAATTCGTGCTTTTAGAAACTATATGCTTTGGATTATTTTAAATTGTGTATATCATTATTAAATCCTGCACTCTAGATGTAAAGTTCATATTGCTAGATGATGCTAACCTTATTTTAGAGAAAGGTCAGAGATTTTATGAACCCGTGGTTAACCTTTGGGCATTGCATGGTTCAGAAAAATGCCAGAATCTAACCTAGGCAAGTTTTCAGGAAATTCAACCCACTAAATGGACATATAATGCCAAGATGACTTAATGAGCAATCCTGTGATTTTTATCAACAGTCCTTTCGCCTTTATCAGTGACACTTGTTATGCATTAGTTATCTATGCTCATTTCTTTTTTTCAAGGGAAGTTTCTTACATCCAGAAACCTGCTTCTGTGAGATTCATTTAAGCTAAGCATGTGTCATCAGCTATCATTTGATTGAAATTGTTAAGTGGTTATGAGATTTTTATAGTTTCAACCTGAACAAGTGTTCTGATAAGGAAAATCATAATTGGATTTGGATTAATAATTCAAGGCATTGAATAAGTATTTTATTATTTATTATTAAATTAGTTTGCAGCCCATCTAAAAAAATCTATCAAATCATCAGATTCAATCTTTTGAATCAAACACCCAATTTGATTTGCAAAGTGTTTGAGTAAACACCTTTGCAAGTGAATCTTTATAGAATTCTCCCCTGTAATTTGGGATGCTGATTTAGCCATATTAATTTAGTCATATATTAGATTAGATAACCTTTATTGTCATTTTTTCCTGTGGGCACAAAGGCACACATTAAAAATGAAATTTAGTTGCTTCCTTTCAAAGTGTACACATACATAACACACATTTAAAATATACTATATACAACATATATATAAACCTACCCCCTACATATAACTAACATATAAATATTATTCACTGTCCATCTTGAATACATAACAGAAGGAGGAAGCTTTAGAGTTCACAAGGTTAATACTGTATGGAACAAGCTGTGACAGAATCTGGATATATATAGAACAGAACAGAACAGAACTCAAAGACCTTGGAGGTCTTCTAATCTAGCTTCCTGCTTAGGCAGGAAACCCTATACCATTTCAGACAAATGGCTGTGCAATCTCTTCTTAAAAACTTCCAGTATTGGAGCATTCACCACTTCTGGAAGCAGGTGGTTCCACTGGTTAATTGTTCTAACTGTCAGGAAGTTTCTCCTTAGTTCTAGGTTGCTTTTCTCCTTGATTAGTTTCCATCCGTTGCTTCTTGTCCTGTCTTCAAGTGCTTTGGAGAATAGCTTGACTCTCTCTTCTTTGTGGCAGCCCCTGAGATATTGGAACCCCCTCGTCCTTCTCTTTGTTAAACTAGACATACCCAATTCCAGCAACTGTTCCTTATATGTTTTAGCCTCCAGTCCCCTAATCATCTTTGTTCCTCTTCTTTGTACTTTTTATAAAGTCTCAAAATCTTTTTTACATTGTGGTGACCAAAACTGGATGCAATATTCCAAGTGTGGTCTTACCAAGGCATTATAAATTAGTATTAACACTTCACGTGATCTTGATTCTATCCCTCTGTTAATGCAGCCTAGCACTGTGTTGGTTTTCTTGTCCACTAGGACTCTGACATCCTTCTCACAGTTACTACTATTGAGCAGGGTGCCACCTATACTGTACCTGTGCATTTGATTTTTCTTGGCTAAATGTAGAACCTTGCTTTTTTCACCATTGAATTTCATTTTCTTAGCACCCAATGTTCAAGTCTGTCAAGATCCTTATGTTTCTTAAGCCTGTCTTCTGGAGTGTTGGCTATTCTTGCCAGCTTGGTGTCATCTGCAAAGTTGATGAGTTCTCCAACTATCTCCTTATCCAAATCGTTGATGAAGATGTTGAAGAGCACTGGGCCTAGAACAGAGCCCTGGGGCACCCCACTACACACTTCCCTCCATGTAGATGCAGTTCCAATTGAGGACCACACGTTATGACTCCATCTGATGGTGATGCTGTCTAACCCATATTTTTCTGTCTTACCAAGTAGTAGGTTGTGGTCTACTTTATCAAATGCCTTACTGAAGTCCAAGTGAATTATATCCACAGCATTCCTCTGGTCCACTAATTTTGTCAGCTGGTCAAAGAATGCAATGTGATTTGTCTGGCATGATCTGTTTTTGATAAACCCATATTGGCTTTTGATAATGACTTTGTTTGCCTCTAGATGTTTGCTGATTCGTTGCTTGATTATCTTTTCCAGAATCTTCCCAGATATTGAAGTCAGGTTGATAGGTCTGTAGTTTCCTGGATCCATTTTTTTTTCTTTTTTGAAGATGGGAACTACACCAGCTCTTTTCCAGTCTTCTGGTAGTTCCCCAGTGCTTCAGGATCTTTGAAAGATATAGTTCAGTGGTTCTGAGTTCACATCTGCCAGTTCCTTTAGAATCTTGGGATGTAGTCCATCTGGTCCTGGTTATTTGAACTCATCTAGGGTGGACAGGTGTTCACTTACCATTTTCTTGCCTATTTTAACTTGAATGTCTAATCTGTTTTTATGGTTCTGTTGTTGATAGGCTGGACTGTTTTTTTTCCCTTTGTGTAAAGACGGATGCAATTTTGTATAGGAATATTCAATTGAACAAGATTCAATCAAGTTCCATTTCCACGGACTGGAGGTTGTGATGGGAAGAAGAAATTCATTTGATTAGGAAATGTGTTCCTAATCTGAAACATTTGGACACAGCCCAACTGTGAATAAGCATTTTCTATCATTATAGTATTAAAATAAAATATCATCAATTCACTGATCATATTGAGAACTGAGCTGATAAATGATGCTGTACTAAATCATTTTAGAGGAATATATCATACTATATAATATAATAATAGTTAAATGTTATATATTTGACATGATTTTAACTGAGATACTCTTTATTGTATTCTCTGTTTCCTATTACTATGATTTTATTCTCATCTATAATTTGTCAGCACAAATAACATTTGTGTTTTAGAAAAAAACTATTTCAATAACGGATAGTTTATTGCTGTGCCGATTTTTTCCCATGTTACGATATTCTTTTCAAATTTGTCATGAAGTGATGTGTCTCTGAAATTATCTTTATGTTATAGTTACTATGCATGAATGTTTCTTCAGAAACAAAACTACAGTTCTTTGGCTGGTGAAATATTCACTGTTTCTGTGTTTCTAAAATTTATAAGCTTCCATATGATCTGAAACAATAAAAACCTGAAGCTTTTTTTATTCCTTTACAGTTCTCAGTTTAGATGATTTAAGAAATGGATAGTTTACACAATGAATGATGTAATAAATATGTATAATTTTAATTTATGGAGGAGTTAGAGTTACTCTTGATAATATTTTTGGCATGTTCATGCAAGTAATTTATTTTCTTGCATTGTAAAACTTTATGATGACTAACCTTCTTAAGATCATTCTTTCATTTTGTCCTTTAATTAGAAAATGGCAAGATGAATTCAAGGCTAGGTAGCTTTACTGCTCAGTATGAGTGAACTACTTGCATGAGTTGCATAGTCTTCACTATAATTGCCCCCTAGTCAATTAAAACTATTTCACACCTTTTTATCATGGTAGATTGTGTGTTCCTTCTCTGATATTCAAATTGTCAAATGCATTAGTTAATACATTGTATTTATTCATTTCTATGGATGAAAACATTTTCTGGGCAATACTCAGATTCTCCAGTTTTCTATATAGAACTGCAACTTTAATTTCGACTTAAGACTGACTTGGAAATTTTTCCTCAATAAATGTATTTGTGTATCCATATCTAGATGGTATATCTACCACCATACCCCTGAAAAATGACAAGGAAAAAAACAAGAACAAAATTAAATTAAAAATAATTAAATGAATTAATAATTAAAATTCATTACTAATAAAATAAGGTGAGCCCTTTATAAAGTGAAGCATTCTTTCTTGCATATACACATAGACAGAAATGTATTGTTATACAAGTATACATTTCCCACACTATTTTTAGTAGACAAACAGAAGGAATGCTGTAGGGCAGGAGTAGGCAACTTTGGCTCTTTTATGATTCATGGACTTCAACTCCCAGAATTCCTGAGTCAGCATAGCTGACTCAGGAATTCTGGGAGTTGAAGTCCATGAGTCATAAAAGAGCCGAGGTTGCCTACTCCTGCTCTAGGGCTAGGCAAGGAAGGAAAAATGAGAGTGACAAAAAACCCGAGATGAATTCAAGGGAAGGGAAAGATTCACTGAAAGGCAGGGCTAGGAAAGAGTGAAATCTTATTTAGGAATTAGAAAAATTAAATTTAATAAAACAATCAGCAAGGATAAACCCTGTTCCTCCAAAGTTAGCTCATGTTATCTAATCTTATATCTAAGGCACCTATTGTATTGTCGGCACCCATTTTCTCCTTTTAATTATCTTCTAAAGAAATGTAAGATGGCATACTTCTATTCCTATTCCAAGTAATTACATTAGGGAAAAATCAAACATTATCACATCTGACGAATACAGTAATAACCAAGAATCATAATAAGTTAATAATATCCTTAATGGAAATGGCTAATACTTATATTGGTTTCATGATGTAAGGTTCAAATGAAAAGAGATACATCCCTTCATAGGATAGTACCATTTTTCTTAACTCAATATACAACTTTTAATCATTTAAAGGTTGTAATGGAATAGTCTGAAAAAACTTCCATTAGATGGGTGACAAAATCTGGTGGATATAGTTCTTTGCCAGGAATATATGTGTATGGGTTTGCATATATACACATTAGATCATGTATCCAGGCATGCATATCACTGAAAGAGTGCTTAAAATGTAATTTAATTATATCCATCTTTTTTCATTTAGGATGATTATTTCAGAAACTGGAATCCAAACAAGCCTTTTGATCAAGGTAAAAGAAATATTGGACTGAAATTGTTTCATTTTGTGAACATCGAGGTATTGTTTTCTGTCTGAGAAGTACTGAGCATATTATTTTTTTAAAATATTTTAATTTGGACATTTTTCTGTAAGAAGAGTTACCTGTCCTTATGTTTTTAAATTTCATCACCAACATGCATTTTAATTAGGATACTATTTTGAAATATAACATAAAGTTAATTATTCAGAACTTAGGAATTATGTTCTTGAAATAAAAAATAAGTATGATTTGATTCTTTTAACATTCAGCTCCAGTTTCTTGAAGAAAGAACAAGTTTATAGTAGAACATATTGGTATTATTTGCTAAGTTTAATTTGATAAAAATGTGCTGTGTGGTTGCAGATATCCAAATTTAGAACTAAAATAATTTACTTTAGCACTGATTAAATGTGATGGAATTAGGATTGGTCTTGATTTCTCAGACTGAACACCAAAGGTCAATAATGCCATGAATGTCATACTAACAGTGAAAGATAATGTTGATAAGTGTGTGTTTTTTGTGGCATTTTGAGTGCAAGAATCGCCCAGTATTAATTGTACACCTCTCAATGGACTTAAACAACAATATTCCAGAAACGTTTGCCTCATGTACAGTACACATAAAAGAGCAAGAGTTACAATGACAGTCAAATTCTGGAAACACTAATGAAAAATACAACTTAGCTCTAAGAAATCTTCCGGCAAAAAGAAGGTAAAATAGAAAAAGGTGCATAGGTTAACATGATAATACATATTCTATTGACCTTAGTAATTGTTCATCACAGTTACAACTTCATTTCATAACTGGTAATCCTGAAAACATAGGATCCATAATTATTACAGGAAAGTCTGGCAGTATTGCTCTGGCTAACACAGTGCTCTCAGCTATGACTTTATAGAGTCTCTTTGGTAACTTGTATTTCCATAGAAACTATAGAAGGTTGTTTAAAACATTTTGAACTCGTTTAAAAACTTGTTCTAGCTCTTTTTTTCATGCCAAATCTGTTGCTAAAGGATATATAGACATGAGTCTATCCAGGAATCACCATTTTGTTTTTAATATTCATATTAAATATTAAATTTTGTTTTTAATATTCAATATTAATTCATATTGAATATTAAAATATTATATATATATATGAATATTAAAAACAAAACGGTGATTCCTGGGTAGACTCATGTTAAACAATAAAATATACGAACACCAGGAAGTTACAAAACTATAAAAAGTTTTAATAGAATAAAAAGTTTTAATAGAATATTCTGGTTTTATTCTATTAAAACTTTTTATAGTTTTGTAACTTCCTGGTGTTCGTATATTTTATTGTTTAACATGAGTCTACCCAGGAATCACCGTTTTGTTTTTAATATTCATATATATATAATATTTTAATATTCAATATGAATTAATATATATATATATATATGTAGGTCTTTGGTTGTTCGGGTTTTCTCCCGCGTAAAATTGGAAGTGTCTTGGCGACGTTTCGACAAAGTCCCATTTGTCATCTTCAGGCTGGTGTTTTCAGCTTCGTGCTTCGAGGAGCAATGTGTGGTCTTAGCTGTTTCTTCCTTTTAGCTAAGACCACACATTGCTCCTCGAAGCACGAAGCTGAAAACACCAGCCTGAAGATGATGAATGGGACTTCGTCAAAACGTCGCCAAGACACTTCCAATTTTATGTGGGAGAAAACCCGAATAACCAAAGACCTACATACAAACACCCGCGAAAACCTCAGAAAACATGTGTGTGTGTGTGTGTGTGTATGTGTGTGTGTGTATATGTGTGTATGTGTATATATATTTATATATATATATATATATATATATACACACACATTGCAAGTGAACATGCAATATATATATATATTGCAAGTGAACATGCAATATATATATATATTGCAAGTGAACATGCAGAGGCCATTTCTCACTGTAATGTAGATGCTGGTTATTATTGCTTCAATCAAGGAACTGATATGACAAATCTGATCCTGAAATCTTAAGGATGATGGGAGAAAAAAAGAAATTGGATGCTGTTATACAGTTCATCTAAATACATCTGTCTCCCCAGAGGAAGTAATGTATTATTGGACAGATTGATCAGCAGAATTCTTTCAAAATCATACTGATTATAAACAGGCATGTTATCAGCTTTGTTATTGTTGTGTACATGATCCCTCATGTGTAATAATTTTTGCTTATTCATTAGAAAGTAGAAAGGCTACAATAGTTAGAAAACCTGTAGATTGTAAAACTGATTTAAACTTATGGCAGACATCATACTGAAAGTTGTATTTTCTTCCACTGAAACACAAAAACATCAAAAATTGTTGTCAGAAAAAAAACCCAGTGATTCATTGAGTCTGGCCGGTTTTTTGTTTGTTTGTCTTTGTTTTATTTTGAATGTATATATTTATTATTTTTTGTTATTAGAAAAATGCTAGATTTGAGAGCTAGGTTGGTGTAGTAATTAAGACTCTGGACTAGGCTGTAGCTTTCCATAGATATTGAAGCCGACTGAGTGATCTTAGCACAGTCTCTCCCTGTCAGCCCATATCAATATCAGACTCTAGAACAAACTGATTGAAATAAAAACCCATCGTATATCATGCTTTGATGAGCTTCATTGTAAGAACTTGGCAAGTTCAACATAAAATAATGGACTCTATAACTAAGCAAACCATACACTAAGAAAAAAATGAAGATAAAAGTACTAGGCTTCTGTATGCTCTGGAATGTGTTTGTCTTTCTGGATTTAAACTATATTTCACATAGTCAACAATATCAGATTCAGATTTTCTACTGGAGTATAATTAAAATATATCTCTGTTCATATTAGAAGCTCAAGACAATTGTTTGTGTACAATTTCAACCCATCTTTTCAGTATTTCACACCCATTCCCATCCCCAGAATTTAGATGTTTTTGCTGGCAGAGGGGATTTGGTATTTTTAATGCATAATTGTTAGTACCGTATATTCCGGCGTATAAGACAACTTTTGAGAGCGTTGAAACAGCCTCCAAACTCGGGGGTCATCTTATACGACGGAAATAAGGTAGTTTCTGGCATATAAGATGACTTTCTAGGCATGCGACTCAGCGTCGATCGTCTTATATGCCAGAAATACCGGTAGTTTCCAGAGTATAAGACGACTTTCTAGGCATGCGACTTGGCATTGATTGTCTTGCGACTCAGTGTCAATCGTCTTGCGACCCGGCATCGAACTCGGGGGTCGTCTTATACGCCGGGTTGCCCTATACGCCGGAATATATGGTACATAATATCATGTTCAGGTGAACAGTTAGATGTTATTGCAATTAACAATTTTCAGTTCAGTACTTAATCTCAAACTTTCCACCCTGAAAGAATGCTTTAACAGTTAATTCCATTCTTTATGTAACTGTGAGGTTTTTTTTATTAAGGGGAACCATTGACTCTAATTTCATGTTAGGTGCTTATTTTTATTACTTGCATTTTGGGGGTTGCTAATGTGTTTGTGCTATTTGCATTCTAATGCAATTCTCTTTCTTTCTCTTTCATGTTAGAATTACCTTAATTTCAAGCTGCTAATCACTCTGCTATTATAATCAGTCTACATTCCCTGTGTAGAACTCCAGAAGCTACCCAGCACATATATTGAATATATACTGGTATATAAAAAGTGACCCATTTAAAATTATTGATTAGACCAGGCCTTTTTTTTTTGTCATAGAACCCTCAGAACGGAGTTCCGGCACCTTTTTGGGATGGAACCTTGTAGCGTAGACAAGGCGGGTTGTATGATGTGTGTGAGTTCCTGCACCTTTTTTTTTTTAACAAAAGAAGCACTGGATTAGACTGTACATAAAAGGAACCTCATAAATTGGGCAGTTATCATAAGATAATTGACTTAGTTGGTATATTCATTTTGTAACTAGAAAAATGAGGGGTTATTTATACAATGCAGCATCTTTTTTTTCACTCTTACTGTTAGGGAAATAATTTCAGTATAAAGCTCCCAACCTAACAGTGTATGTTAGATAATTACATGGAGTAAGGCTGCTCTAAAGAGGTAAATTAGGGATTCTATGTGTTCAATTTTCATTTAAATTTAGTCATTAAAATTAAACTGGCTTTCAGGCATCACAATCACACCGTCAAGTTGTATTAACTTTTGTATTTTATATAAAATAGTTTTAGATTCAAACATGTACATATGTTTGAGTTTATGGGAAAAAATGAAAAGAAATTCTGTTCTTGATTTCCATTCATTTACCAGTAGGTTCCCATCAAGAAACCAAGATTTATATGTGAATTAATATATATTGGATTGGTCTGCCAGAAACATAAAAGATTATAGGACATCAAAGCAGATTAAGTCATTGAAATTACAGAGATTACATCAAGAACTATATCCTCCATTTATTCACACTTATCCACATAGATTCACAACATACAACACCAAAATATGGCTTACTGAGATATGTGAATCCAGTCACAAACATTTACTTTTCATTCCAATCTATTTTTTTGCTGCATTCATCAGGACTCACTGAGAGAAAATGTTCAGTATGATGCTACTAATTGTATAAATCAGACACATTTTAGTTCTGGAAAAGATGTATAATTGTTTAGTTCCGCCTGTGATGGTAAGATAGGAAAAACAACTGCAGTGGCAATATGTAACTTAGAGTCTTCTTCCTATACCTATACCCAGTGCTTTTTTTCTAAAAAAAAAAAAAAAAAAGGTACTGGAACTCACACACGTCATACAACCCTACAAGATTCCATCCAAAAAAGGTGCTGGAACTCTGTTCTGGACATTCTATGTGAAAAAAAAGCCCTGCCTATACTAAAAAAGCTATAAGGAGTAGATCTTTCGCATCAAGTAGAACTGGTAAATTGTATGACAAATAATTACATTATAAAAATTACTATAATTTTACAGTATTTTATTTTGTTTCCTAGCTATCATTTTTATCATTTAATTATTGGAATGGTATAGTGGCTCA